CGGTTTGGCGGACTTTCTAACCATTTCAGAATAAAATCAATTTTTTTTCGCATTTCTGATTGATATTGCATTTTTGTGATGCTAGATTGTGATAGAATTCCATCAGGTTTCCTCTATAGAGCCTTTGGGAACCAAATCGTATTGGAGAATCAGAGTTAACCGAATATTATCCGAAATGTGACATCATTTAGAGAGACCCCTGAGTGGATGGTAAAAGGGTTGTCCGAATATTTAGCAAGGTATTCACTTCCCACGCTGGGGCAATTTGCATGCTAAATCGCAATTCCTTGGGCTGAGTGAGTGAATTAGTAGTCAGAGTTACGTCAGTCACTTCATATGTGCGTTTCGTTGAGCAAATAACGATGGAGAATTTACGGGGACAATGCCATGGCAACTGTGCAACTGTCGCATGTCCCTAATCAATCGCTTCGGGATGGGCCATGCACTTGAGGGAACGAGTAGCTGGCCAGGAAAATTAATTCCACAGTTTCACTCCCGCCCAGTTTAGTGCTCTGAAAGCCAGTCAGATGTTTCTAACAAGAAAAAAATTTTTTTTCCTAGGCTCAAATTTGGAGCGCTTTGGAGGGTTTAGAACCTTTGGAACGAGCTTCCAACCAGAAATTGGCCATCCATGAAGGCGGTCTTACCACGATGGAACCTCCCTCTCTATCCAGCGAGCAAATTTATGTAACGGCTTGATTATCTCTTAATGAAATGTGAAACTCGTAAACAAACGCGGTCACCGGAGATCCGAGCAAGCGAGTCAAATTTCGCCCACTCATTATCAAGGTTGTGACAAATTTCATTGAATTTTCGCCCGAGAAATTCCAATTTTGACTTCGAGGTCAGGAAAAACCCTATCGAAGGAAATGTAATTCACAATGCCCTGCAAACAGAAAGAAAGCCCACACATAGAGCCGAAGCAATCTTCTAATGCACTCAAAAGTACGTGCAGGGGCATTTTCTTTCTCCTGGTGGTCGCACCACTTCAATCGAAACTTGAAGAATTAATCATTTCCATCATAAGAATTCTCTAAAGGGGCAGCTCCCGCATCAAGAGAAAGAGCGGGGGAAAGAGAATACGATGCATGAAGTTAGATAAGCAAGGAAATCTTACCCGTCGTCGGGCAAATGACCCCGTCTCGGGTTTCCTTGCCATCATCGGAGCACTGCCGCCGCCATCATTTCCAACTGCTCCACCAGCCACCCATGGCACTGAAATTGAAAGCATTATGGGAAAATTTCAAAAGAACTTTTCTTGCTACTGTGCTACACCCCTTCTCTCCTCTGGAAAAAATCAGTTGGGCAGAAAGATAGAGTAGAGAAATCCCATAAAACACGAAAAAGGGGCAGACAGGCAACGGGGGAGGGGTATTTTGCGCTTTTGTTATTTCCCAACAAATTGTAGA